TGCATAATGTTTGAGCAGCTTAATATTTTTTTTAGTTGCGAACCCTTTACAGGACATTGTAAAAGGCTGCAGTTCTTCTTCTTCGCATTCACCGGTTGTAAACTCCAGCTGAAAGTTCTGGTTGTTCGTCAGCCTCTGGACTTTAGTCTTGTTCTAGAACCTGAGTATTGCATGCTCATCCGTTTTACAGGTCTGACTTGTTTATATGCAGATTGTTGGTTTCTTGCATCTCAGGCAGATGTACTTCGATGTCGTAGGAAACCTTGTAAAATTGTAGTATCAGCATCTTTTCTGCGTGCTAATTTCTTATTTTTTACCAACAGATATGAGGTCCTATTGGGAGCTGCTGTGGTGTGGTGGCTAGATCCTCGCCTGCAGATTAGAAAATTATGGGTTCAGGCCCCAACTGAGCCTGACATTTTTCAGAAATGACATTTTGCTCCCAGCTCGACCCAGCCTTCATTGGTTACTGGGTATAGTCCTTGGAAGTAAAAGCAGCCAGCGTGATGTTGATCACATCACCCACCTAGCACCAGGTTGTCTAAAGTATAGGTCTAGAAAAGATATAAAACCGAATGAAAAGTATATTAGCAAGCTTCACAATATAACAAAACGTGAACGTTGCAGCTATGAGGTTTAGTCATATTTGCCCAGTACACCTTAGTTAGTTAGTTAGTTAGTTTGTTGGGTTATCCTCATTGCACTCCGGACATGTCCATAGGTGCTCAGATCCTCCCCTCAGTATGAACCCCAACGTCCGATGGCTAATAGTACCAGTTCTATGTTAATTAACAAGTCTTCTGGCGTGTCTGGTGTGCGTCTCGTTTTTTGCTGTACCGATCTTAATTCCCAAGTCTGCCATTCTGGCGAGTGATGTCGATTCACTGCCACCAAAGTCCTCTATCCTTCCCATTTCTCTGAGGGCATTGATAATATCAGCATGATCCATAGGTTGACCGTCGGTAGTGATAGCGGATCCAGCCAACCTGTCAGCTCTTTCATTTCCATCGACGCCTGCGTGTCCCGGAACAAAAATAAAGGTGACTCCACGCACAGTGGACTTCTGAATTGATTCAAGCCATTGTCTTCGCACTGAACCTGCCTGAACCCTCTGGATCATACTCATTGAATCACTGAGTATACACACACGGGTGTATTTTTGTGTTTCAAGCCAGGCAAGCGCTTGCGTCACTGCCATCACCTCCATCGTCATGCTGCTAGTTGTCATGGAGAAGGCGCCGTTGGCTTCTTTGACTGTTCTGCCCGCTGAGCGTGCTGTAAATGCCCATGCGCTTCTTCTTTGGCGTATAACGGATCCGTCTGTATAGATTATTGCATCTGCTTCGTCTGAATTTTCACCGATGAGAGCGTTGACCTCTGCATTAACAGCAACAGGATTCTTTTCTCTACATCGCCTGTTGAGTGTGCCAATACAGGAAAATGTACAAATAAACGCCTGAGGCACAGGTATCCATTCTGCACCAGGTATGATGTCGGTTAGGCTGCATATTTGCCTAATAACATCTTCTGCCCGACCTAGCCATGATTTCCCCCTCTTCAGTCTGTCGCCCTTTTCACTAAAAAGCGCTTGATGCAGTGGGTGTTTCTTATTAGCACATATTTTGAGATATGCCCGAGCCCTCCACATCCTGATCCTTTGGTTCATTGTTGGTGACCAGTACATCTGAAGCGTGGAAAAGAATCCTTTACTTAGGAGGTCTTATTGTCAGTGCACATAGACCAAACTGTAATCTGACAGTCTCTATGAGCTGCCTGAATGTTCTGCTGTAGATATATGATTTCTTATCTTTACTGACTTTTCTTAATGAATGAAGAAATTTAAAAAAGTAGAACCACATTTAGATTTGAAAATATTTAATTATGGCTTATGTCTGATCTTCTCACTCCAAAGTAAATAAGTAAGACTATTTTTTGTCTGACTTTATGTTTACTTAATCAGATCTGTCAGAAGTTTGTTTTTACTTCTGTCAAGTTTAATGTTACTCAGTTTTGCTTTACAAATGTTTACATTTTTTTTTTAAATTTAAATGTAAAGTTTTAGTTTGATTCTGTAAGATGTTGCCTTCATTCCACAAAGTTTTACATAAAATTATCTTTGTTGCATTTTACTTCACACACACCAAGTTTTGCAGTTTTTGTTTTGTTTGGTGCCACTTCGTGTACACCAGGGTTTACAGTTTGTTGCATTTTACTTCACATACATTTACAATTTTACTATGTTGTAATTTACTTCATGTTCAACAGGTTTTACGGAAGTTTTATTGTATTTTTCTTCACATACACCAGGTTTTACAGAAAGCTTTACTGTGTTGTAATTTACCTTATGTTCACCAGGTTTCACAGAAAGTTGTATTTTGCTGCATTTTTACCTGAAGTGTGTCTTGATCAAGATTTACTTCATCAGCATCATATTTTATTTGAAGTTTTTCTACACTGCATGTTACTTGGCCTTTACCTCATTAGCAGTAATTTCTATTTTAAGTTTTCCTGTGTTTTATTTGCCAAGTTTTAGTTTATAAAATTGAACATTATTAGATTTTATGACACCAAACTTTATCAGTCTTAATACACGAAAGTTTGTCAGTTTTAATACACCAACGTTTATCAGTTTTAATACACCAAAGTTGTCAGTTTTAATACACCAAAGTTATCAGTTTTAATACATCAAAGTTATCAGTTTTAATACACCAAAGTTTAGTAGTTTTAATACACCAAAGTTTATCAGTTTGAATACACCAAAGTTATCAGTTTTAATACACCAAAGTTATCAGTTTTAATACACCAAAGTTTATCAGTTTTAATACACCAAAGTTTATCAGTTTTAATACACCAAAGTTTATCACTTTTAATACACCAAAGTTATCAGTTTTAGTACACCAAAGTTATCAGTTTTAATACACCAAAGTTTAGTAGTTTTAATACACCAAAGTTTATCAGTTTTAATACACCAAAGTTATCAGTTTTAATACACCAAAGTTATCAGTTTTAATACACAAAAGTTATCAGTTTTAGTACACCAAATTTTGTCAGTTTTAATACACCAAAGTTATCAGTTTTATTACACCAAAGTTATCAGATTTAATACACCAAAGTTTATCAGTTTTAATACACCAAAGTTATCAGTTTTAATACACCAAAGTTTATCAGTTTTAATACACCAAAGTTTATCAGTTTGAATACACCAAAGTTTATCAGTTTTAATACACCAAAGTTTATCAGTTTTAATACACCAAAGTTATCAGTTTTAATACACCAAAGTTTATCAGTTTTAATACACCAAAGTTATCAGTTTTAATACACCAAAGTTTATCAGTTTTAATACACCAAAGTTTATCAGTTTTAATACACCAAAGTTATCAGTTTTAATACACCAGAGTTATCAGTTTTAATACACCAGAGTTATCATTTTTAACACCCAAAGTTTTCAGTTTTAATACACCAAAGTTATCAGTTTTAATACACCAAAGTTTATCAGTTTTAATACACTAAAGTTTATCAGTTTTAATGCACCAAAGTTTATCAGTTTTAACACACCAAAGTTATGAGTTTTATTACACCAAAGTTATCATTTTTAATACACCAAAGTTTAACAGTTTTAATACACCAAAATTTGTCAGTTTTAATACACTAAAATTTGTCAGATTTTATACACACAAGTTTTGTTCATTCCCCCATACTGTTGATTATGCCCTGTTTTACCTCCCTTGGTGTGATCTAGATTTTACCTAGTTTTATGCTAATCTTTATTATTTTTCTTAAATCTAATGGGACCTAGTTTTGTCATGTTAGCGAGTGAATGGTGCGGAAGCACAAATAGATCATTATGTTCTGAGGAGAATGGCGCTGCGAGCAGTTAACAGAGGATCTGGCCGACGCTTCTCACTCAAGGGAAAGGCGAGACAGATATAAGGTCAGACAGTTACTGGTGCCATCGGAATTAGAACTCTTTGCTTGCTGCTGAAGATGGGGTCGAAGCACTTATGGGAGTGTCCTGAGTGTTATGATGTCAATTCTTAATTCTACATTCCGTTTTAATAAATCAAAGTTTTATTTGTTCCCCCTTTAGTTGATAAAGCTACTATTTCACCTCTGCCATGTGATCTGGTTTTTACCCAGTTTTATACTAATTAGTTTTTTTTTCTAAACTTTTACAGAACCAAGTTTTGTCCTGTTGTAAAAGTAAAGGACCCCTTTTAGGCCAGTGGGGCATGGGCATATGATGCTAGACCCATAGTTTTCTAGACCAATCTACACTCTGTGGGTGGTGGGTTTCGCATTATGCTGGCCGCCTTTATTCCCATGACTTTATCTGGTACTTATTTTAGACTGGGTTGGCTTGGAAGCCAATTGTCAGCTTTGAAACGAATCTGATTCACTCCAGATTCAAACCCAAGACCTTCTGGTTAAATGCGAACGTCTGACCGCTACACCATTCTAAATATTTGAAGTGATTGACTTGTTCTAGTTTGTGGACTCTAACGTACATTGGTGTAGTTATGCCAGCTTGATTATTAGCTTATTTACTTACTTTTAATTAACTAAAACTGCATAAAGTAAAAGTGTATACATTTTACAATAACACTTTGGTAAAATACAACTTGATAAAGTAAAAAGGACAAAGTGAGCAAGGTTTTCAGATAAGCAAATTCCTAATCGCATTACGGTTAGAATTTTCTTCATGGTGTGCTGGATATTTTATTTACTTTCCAGCTTCCCAAAAACAGCATTAGACCATAGCAGTAACTATTTTAACAGATTTTATGACTTTTTAAGCATACATTTGTTGGAGTTTTTCAAATTTATTCTGCTTATAAAGTCTAGTGAGACTTTATGAACACCCTATACAAGCCACGTCATATTTGTAACTGTTACCAGTCCACTAGTTTTTTTATTTTAAATTTTTTTAAACCTGTTGTAAGTTCTAAACTTTTACTGTTTGGTGCCATTGATAACTGATATTTTCTTTGTTTCCCTGACAGCCGGACTTAGCACCAGATTTCCAGCCTATGAACGTGTCGTCTACAGAGACCGTGAGTAGACTCCTCTTGCTCTCTGCTGTGTCATGCAAGAAGTTTATAAAGGTTGGGCTAGACAAGAGCATTTTTCAGGATGTCATAGTTGAATACCAAACGAGCACAGAACTGATGTCATTAGGTGCTAGACGCTTTACGATTTACTGAAGACGGGATCCAAGCAGTTATGGGCTGAATGGTTTGATTTGCAATGAGGATTATCTGTCGACTAACTAAATATAGTTATATGTAGTTTAAGTTAAATTAAGAGACACGTTTCATGCAGTGAAGTCTATTACATAAGTCAGTCAATCAAACCTCATCATGCCTCCACCCCTTTTTCCACTGATCTTTCCAGTTGTCACGATGTTTCCCAATGTCTCTCTTCTCATTGCGTGGCCAAAAAAACAGTGTTTGTCTCTTTCTTATTGTTGTAGAGCTCTAGCTCTACTTTCATTAGCTTCTTTCAAACAGTCGTTGTTATTACTCTTGCCGTCCAAGGTATTCGTAACATTCGTCTAAAAAAGCACATCTCTGTTGTACAGTTGTATAACTTTGGTATACGGAAGTGAATCATGGACTGTTGGTAAATAAGTGAAAACTTATTTAGAAGATGAGTATACTCTATACATATAAAAAGAGTAACGAAGACGTCTTGAAAAAAACTGACTCACGAAGAGAACTAATTGCCCACATCAAAAAGAAACAATCTGCATTCTATGGTAATGTGATGAGATGGAAGGAGAAAACTGGAGTACAACATGACAGTAATAAAGTTGGAGGGGAGGAGAGGCAGAGGGAGAATGATTGCCCACATCAGAAAGAAACAATCTGCATTCTATGGTCATGTGATGAGATGGAAGGAGAAAACTGGAGTACAACATGACAGTAGGAAAGTTGGAGGGAAGGAGAGGCAGAGGGAGACAGAGAAAACAGATGGCGGACAGTTTGACATCATGGGATGGAGGATCATCTGGGTCAGAGTTGATTGAAAGTAGATGAGACAGAAGTTTGTGGATAGACATGACTATTAACGCCACATGGTATGGACTTAAAGAAGAATAAGTTGTGTTTTTTACTTTTACTTTCATGTAAAGTTGTATAACTTGTGTTTTTAACTTTTACTTTCATGTAAAGTTGTATCACTTTTGATTTTCCATCTAACTGCCTATAGCTGGATTTGTGAGACCTGTTGTTATATTTGGAGCTATTGCTGACATTGCCAGAGAGAGGCTGTTGGCAGAGTACCCAGATAAATTTTACTTCCCCCGTAAGTATTTTTATGTTGCCTTTTTAACGATCACTGTCACTTAAGACTATTGTACATATTGAGGGAATCCAGTCTGTTCAGTCACAGTAAAATAAAATACGATGTTAAAACTTTCAGTAACTGGTACCTGCGCAAACAAGAAAGAATTAAATGGGATGATAGAATCACTAATACGTGCTTTGATAAAGAACTAAGCATATTCCAGTGAATAAAGATGCAAGGAAAAAGATGCTGCATTTAGGTAGGACACATATTAGGAAAACCTGATAACAATATAATAAAGTGTCTTTGCACTGGAACCCACAGAGTCAAAGGAATACAGAAAAAGAAGTTGAATAGACAGGTAAGCATAATGGGAGCTGCATGCGATAACAAAGTATTGGACACCCTGTTGCGAGTTTGTTCAGGTCATATGCTTCACTGGGGAATGAAGAGTAGAAGAAGAAAAAGAAGACATACTTTGTGATGAAATTCCTTTCAGGTGAAGACAGTAGGGAGCTGGGGAATGAAGGGCAGAAGAAGAAGAAAGAAGACATACTCTGTGATGAAATTCCCTTCAAATGAAGACAGTAGGGAGCTGGGGAATGAAGGGCAGAAGAAGAAGAAAGAAGACATACTTTGTGATGAAATTCCTTTCAGGTGAGGACAGTAGGAAGCTGGGGAATGAAGGGCAGAAGAAGAAGAAAGAAGACATACTCTGTGATGAAATTCCCTTCAAATGAAGACAGTAGGGAGCTGGGGAATGAAGGGCAGAAGAAGAAGAAAGAAGACATACTCTGTGATGAAATTCCCTTCAGGTGAAGACAATAGGGAGCTGGGGAATGAAGGGCAGAAGAAGAAGAAAGAAGACATACTCTGTGATGAAATTCCCTTCAGGTGAAGACAATAGGGAGCTGGGGAATGAAGGGCAGAAGAAAAAGAAAGAAGACATACTCTGTGATGAAATTCCCTTAAGGTGAAGACAGTAGGGAGCCGGGGAATAAAGGGCAGAAGAAAAAGAAAGAAGACGGTACTGGTTTCAGAGCACCATATTGCACATCTAAAATATGTTGTCGAACCTGTTGGCCAGCTGTAGACATGTTTCACCAATGTATTATGGAGGAAGCCGGTCTGTTCTATTTTCCCCCACAGTGGGGTTCCGGAACCCGCACAGGGTATAAACAGATATGTGAGTTGCTTGGTTCAGAAAGAATCAAATGGCACTGGATCTATTCTCATCCCCCTCCCCCCTGCCCATAAACGGGGTCCTTGAATCCATATAGGGAATTGAATAAATAAAATAGTTTCTAATGTGATGTGAAATATAAGCTGGCCGAACATCTGTTTAATTTGCTCTCATTTACCACCAGAGATGGACAAGTCCACAGATCATGGGGAGAAAAAAGACAAGACCACAATTATACGACTGAGCTCCATACAAGAAGCCATCACACATGTAAGTGGATGTTACTATCTTGTTCTTCAAAGCTTTCATCTTTTCTAATAGTTTTGTGAGACATGGAAAAAACTAAACACATTGTTTCATCTCAGTCTTTTCAAGAAGACACATGATCTAATGCTTCAGGGAACAAAATCTCTAGAGCAGATTATTATGCATGGCTGTGAGCTTAAAGATTTAAGGCCACATGGCTAGTTCAGTCACCATGAAACCGGCAGGTTAGGATTTTTGTTTTTGTCCCAGACAGAAAAAATCTCCATCCCTTACAGAAGATCAGACTCAAGTCTCTTGCCTGAGAGCATAGCTCTCTGATCACTCTGCGCCAGTCCCTGCTCTTTAATCAGTGCACTGCTAGCTGGCCGTGCCACAGATTTTGTACGAGCCCTATGTGACATAAAATGGCACAACAGGACAGAGATGATGGTGATGATACCAGGATGCTAAATTAGCACCTTCTTTGTTGATCTCGGCCTGCTTCTATCCCATGCCATATTTCCTATTTATTAGAACGTACACTGTGTAATCTTATGGTAGAACATACACTGTGTAATCTTATGGTAGAACATACACTGTAATCTTATTGTATTACATACACTGTGTAATCTTATGGTAGAACATACACTGTGTAATCTTATGGTAGAACATACACTGTCTAATCTTATGGTAGAACATACACTGTGTAATCTTATGGTAGAACATACACTGTGTAATCTTATGTTTATGAATTGATTGTGTATCTGACAGAGGAAACACTGTCTCCTGGATGTCACCCCTCACAGTGTGGACAGACTCAACTACGCCCAGTACAACCCCATTGTCATCTTTCTGAGGGCAGAGAGCAAACAGGCAGTTAAAGATGTCAGGGGCCGCTGGAAAACAGCAGCCAAAAGTGTTCGGAAATTGTTGGAGCAGAGCGAAAAAATTGAGAAGGAATATCCCCACCTCTTCACAGGTTGGATTTGACAGTTATTTTGACTCAGGACATATTTCTTCTTCTTCTTCTTTTTCTTCTTCTTCTTCTTCTTCTTCTTCTTCTTCTTCTTCTTCTTCTTCTTCTTCATCTTCTCTTCCACCCTTTACCTCAGCGAAGTGTCGGGGAAAGATGTAACATTCGTCGATGAGCTGTGTCAAGAGCACTATTAAGACTAATGTTCATTTCTGTAAGGCTGTTCTTAATGCCATCACTCCGTATTTTCCGAGGTCTTCCACTCCCATGTTGTAATGTTTTAGTGTAGCTCGCTGTGGCAGATAGTACCAGGGCATTTTTGTTAGGTGTCCAAACCACTTCATTTGTTGTTCTTTGATGACTTGTAAAACTGGCTTTATTCATAGCATTCGTCTGATTTTGTATTCTGTCTTACCTTGAAACTCCTGCAGCTCTTCTCAGGCTTTTCATCTCTGTTGTCACAATTTTACATTCATTGGAGGCTGTAAGTGTCCACATTTAGCACTGATAGCATAGAAACATATTTCTTAAAATGTATTTATTTAAAAAAAAAAAAAAAAAAAAAAAAAACGGATACAGCAGTGTGTTCCTCTTGACTAGTGAAGATTTATGTTTTTTGTAGGTTAGATACCAGGTTAGAAAAAGACCATGCCTGCATTACACTGAAAATCAGAAAATAAAGTGGTTTGGCCACCTAATAAGAATGCAGGCAGACGACCAAAAATATGAGACTTGTCAGCCGTACATCTAGGCTGAAGTGCAGAGAAAGACCAAGGGAGAGATGAATAGACCGCATAGCTGAAACCTGCCCGCCCTTCCCCCCCCCCCCCCCCCCCCCAAAAAAAAATGAATGAAACCATCAGACAGGCCACCTGAGCTGAGAAGAGCAGTATGAATAGAAAGCTACGACACTGGGATACAATCCAATAACAGTGTGATGACAAAAGAAGAAGAGACCCTAGTGGGTCATCCACCTTTAAACTGTCATTACGACATCGCCATGCTCGTCTGCACCATGATGTCATTTGCTTAACACTCTTTCTTGACATCCTTAGCAACAATATTGGACAAATTACAAGACAGTGGAAGGTTATTATAATATCTGTCAAACTTTTACATTTTTGGTTTGAACCTCTCGTTTATATTTCTTCTGCCCCTGTGAGAATTTATGTCCATTGATTGGTGCTCATTGAGTGTGTGTTGGTGGCCTAGGGTGATCACAGTGTCTTGAGCTGCAAATAGGACATTTCACTAATAAGTTGAGCTGAAAACGGGACATTTCACTAATATTTTTAGCGGAAAATGCTGAAATGGGAAATTTCACTAACACTTTTAGCTGAGAATAGGACGTCCTAAGCAAGTCATTTTATCTCCCCTGCCCCTTTTTCCTCCCTAAGTCACCCAGGTGAAAGGGTTAATTATTCACTATTCAGTGGTACTCTGAAAATCTGAACAATTATTGCCAGTCAATCAGTGAAACAATATGCTTCTTAGCTGTGTTGATTACCATCAACACGTTCAGGCGTTAAGGGTATCTAACATTGTCAAATCTAATAAGATTTTAATTTGTAATAATAATAATCCCCCGTGTGGGTTCCGGGGCCCCATTGTAGGGAAAAACAAGAATAAACCCACTGCCTACCCAAAAGCCTGTCGTAAGAGTCGACTAATTGGGGAGCTTCCTTTGAAGTCGGAGTGCATCTGCCGGAGATGCAAGGAACGAACAGTCTGTATTCAAGAGAATGAGATCTGTAAAACTGATGCACACGCAACACTCAGGTTCTGGAGGAGGACTGCAGTTCAGTAGTGGACGAGCAACCAGAACTTCCCGCCAGAGTGTACAGCTGGTGAACGCAAAGAAGAAGAAGAATAATAATAATTTTTATTATATCTAATAAGATTACAGATACAACTATAACTGCATGTAGTATTCTTGAGTTAATTTCTACATTTTTATGGAACGGGAGAGTGGTATTTTGGGGAGGATTACACCTTTTCTGGTGAAAATGAGATGCATCGTCACCTGTGCTGGTCCCATATTTTGTATAGACCAGTAAATTGTCACTCGTTTGGGCATGTGATCAGTGTCATGCTAGCCATCTTTACTTCCCAGATCATTTTTCTTACTCCCAGTTTACGCTGGGTTTACCTGAGACTGCAGGAGAAACAACCACATTCATTTCTGAGAAATAAAACAGAAATTATGCTGTCTCCACATTGGAGGTTGCTGCAATGTATTGCTGACTGTGGGAATATTACCTGGTGAGGGCTCAGTCTCTACAGCAGTGTGACTCCATTCCAGTGACTGATAACCCCAAGAGCAGCCTTTTTCTAAGCCACCTACTGTGTGGGATCGAACCCTGGTAAACATTGAGGATGGCATTGTGAAATAGTTTCACTAACCTCTAATCCACAGAGCAGTCTGAAGAATAAAAGCATTCACAAAAATAAATTTAAGGTGAAGAAGCGACGTACAAATTACCTTGTATGGGTTCCAGGGCCAGTTGTGGGGGAGAAACAAGAATAAACTCACTGCCACTTCAACAAGCATAGGAGAAGTCTCATTGGTTGCATCCTTCAAAGTCAGGGTGCATCTGCCTGAGAGGAAAGGAACTAACAGTCTGCATCTAAATAAGCCAGATCTGTAAAACCGATGTGCACGCAACACTCAGGTTCTGAAAAAATACTAAAATCTGGAAGTGGACAAACAACCAGAACTTTCCACCAGAGCTTACAGCTGATGAATGCAAAGAAGAAGATAATACAAATTACTAAGCTTTCTCACACTGATAAGCCTGGCAGTTGATGTTTTATAATGAGTAGCTCAAACATGGGATCCCTGTCTGAAGTCTCAATGTCTGCTTGTTCTTGCTGACCAGGCCAGTTGAAGCACATGGGCACTGACGCTTGGTTTCCCAAACTTTGTGAGATGATTGACTCGCAGCAGAGGCAGCAGATTTGGATGTCGGAGAAACAGGTCAGATTTCTCTTCTTAAGATTTATCATTATTATCTGTTTCTTTCTTTCTTTTTTTTTTTTTCAACGCACATAAAAACATACTTTAACTCTTGAATGTTGACTGTAGCACGCTTGCAGGTGCTGTTGCTGTTTCTAGGTTCTTCATGCTGTTTAGTCTCTGCATTGCTAAAATAAGTCTTTTTCTTATTTCTTTTGTGCAGTCACCATTGTTGTTCACTGTTGAGCCTAAGTGTTTAGAATCTGTGATATTTTCAATCTCTTCATTATTGATTGTTTGTTTAGAGACTAGCACTTAGAAAATGCTGTTTCTTCTCGAATGTTTCAGCCAGCAGAGGACATGAGTGATGACTTTATGTTTCCCATGTCCACAAGACTCAGCTACGCTGCAGGAGTCGACAGTGACCTGGACATACCGCAGCACAGAGATGACCTTGACGTGTCACCAATGAGAAAACAGCGGTTGGTGAGGTCATCGTCTGATCCTAGTGTCAACACGCATGAGAAGATTCCGGGGATACCTCCCTATCCTGCTCCACCCACATACAAGAACCAAAAAGTAAGTATAACAACTTGATAAATGGGAATGCAGTGAAACTGTTACAGAATTACACAATCATTTATTGTAATCAAAAACCACTTCTGCGGTTGAGCGACATTAGGGGAGGAATAATTTTCAGTCCAGTGGAAATTGGCTGGTACTCGCTATTGTCTTGCCATGTATGCGTAAAGTGTCTTTAATATTGTTGATCTATATTTTATTGGCCGTCCTCTTGATCTTGTAGCTGATCCTTTGAGATGTAATGCCTGTGATAGTATTTGATATTGCTGCATCTGTTAAGATAGCCGGACCACTTGGTCTGCTGTTTTTTTTTAAAAATCAATCATTACTTCTTTCTGCTGGTGAGTTAGTTAATCGACAAATTATCCTCATTGCACATCAGAAAAGTTCATAAGCGCTCAGATCCCATCTTCAGTATATCCCTGATAACACCAGTTCTGTGTTGGTTTACTATTCATCTTTGGCTACCTGTATAATGTTCATGTTTGGTGACACCGTTTTTGACCTTAAGTTCTTGTAGTCTTTTGAGTGTTGCCAATTCACCATCATCTCCTGAATCATCTTCTCATCCTGCCTTCTTGATAACATTGACAATTTTGGCTTAACATGGGAGTAATATCATTGTTATCAGTTACCCAAGAAATACCCTCATTAAACTGTGAGTAAGCCCATAGCTACTCTGATATCATCCTCTCAAGGAAGTAATATCATTGTTATCAGTTACCCAAGAAATACCCTCATTAAACTGTGGGTAAGCCCATAGCTACTCTGATATCATCCTCTCAAGGACTTGAGTGTGTTGAGACCAGTGCTGGTGAAAATATGTAGTTCTAGTCTTACATCCCTCCAGCCACACATCCACACAAGCCAGAACAGAACGGTAACACAGGTAGCTGGTGTTGCTAGTTTTATGTGGCTTCTTGTACACTCAGTGGGATGCAGAGGTGCTGAACCGCACATGGTGATGCACCGGGACCATGTCACAAACTTGTCAAGACCTATCTACACTTCTCCAAAGTCGACCTGGAGGCAGAATCCCACACTGGTGGACCCTGGCCAGCTTAGATCGGATCATTGTTTCCTGCAGGAGTGATCAGAAGAGATAAAATCGTGAATGAGGTCATAGCAGAAAAGGTCGACTCAGAACCAGTTCTAAATTACATATAAAGACATCAAATCAAATCTTCGCCCACTTAGAGAGAATGCCTTGTGACCACATATATCATACAGGGCAATACCAAAAGTAGAGAAGGACTTAGAGCACAAGGTAGACCAAGAGGTTGATGGAAAGTTAAGATCATAGAATCTCTATAACAGCACTATGTGTCTGTGGTCGAGGCGGCCAGGAAGAGCAAGAAGCATTATATCTCCATTGACACTCGAAGCGGGAAAAGAGGAAGGGAAGAAGATAAGTTTGCTCCATTTCCCATTCAGCTACAGCCAGATCTGTGGATGCAACAAAGGCCAGCTGTAGGATGACCTGTCTGCCCAGTGTTGTCTGCACTGCCAGATCTGTGGATGCAACAAAGGCCAGCTGTAGGATGACCTGTCTGCCCAGTGTGGTCTGCACTGCCAGATCTGTGATGCAACAAAGGCCAGCTGTAGGATGACCTGTCTGCCCAGTGTGGTCTGCACTGCCAGATCTGTGGATGCTTCTTCTTCTTCTTCGCGATCACCAGCTGTACACTCTGGCGGAAAGTTCTGGTTGCTCGTCCACTACTGAACTGCAGTCCTGCTCCAGAACCTGAGTGTTGCGTGTGCATCAGTTTTACAGATCTCATTCTCTTGAATACAGACTGTTGGTTCCTTGCCTCTCCGGCAGATGCACTCCGACTTCAAAGGAAGCTCCCCAATAAGTTGACTCTTACGACATGCTTTTGGGGAGGCAGTGGGTCTATTCTTGTTTTCCCCACAATGGGGCCCCGGAACCCACACGGGGAATCTGTGGATGCAACAAAGGCCAGCTGTAGGATGACCTGTCTGCCCAGTGTGGTCTGCACCGCCAGATCTGTGGATGCAACAAAGGCCAGCTGTAGGATGAGCTGTCTGCCCAGGGTGGTCTACACATCCAGATTTGTGGATGTAACAAAGGCCAGCTGTAGGATGAGTGGTCTGCCCAGGGTGGTCTACACATTCAGATTTGTGGATGTAACAAAGGCCAGCTGTAGGATGAGTGGTCTGCCCAGGGTGGTCTACACATCCAGATTTGTGGATGTAACAAAGGCCAGCTGTAGGATGAGTGGTCTGCCCAGGGTGGTCTACACATCCAGATTTGTGGATGTAACAAAGGCCAGCTGTAGGATGAGTGGTCTGCCCAGGGTGGTCTACACATTCAGATTTGTGGATGTAACAAAGGCCAGCTGTAGGATGAGTGGTCTGCCCAGGGTGGTCTACACATCCAGATTTGTGGATGCAACAAAGGCCAGCTGTAGGATGAGTGGTCTGCCCAGGGTGGTCTACACAGCCAGATTTGTGGATGCAACAAAGGACAGCTGTAAGATTACCTGTCTGCCCAGAGTGGTTTACACAATTCATCTCCTTGAGATTTCCAAAACTGACAAGGATGCCACACAAATTATACATGAAATGTTCTGTAATGATCCACACATTGTCATGTTCTAGCGTACATTGTCTTATATTTAGTGCATCATTTATGGACATCAGATTATCTACTTGAGGTGAGTTGAGTTAAGAATTGACATCACAGCATTTAGGGCATTCCCATATGCGCTCTGTCCCCATCCTTAGCAGCCAGCGCAGAGTTCCAATACCAATGGTGCCAGATGTAGTCTGGTTGTATGTCTGTCTTGCCTTTCCTCTGAGCCTAGTGTGCTGGCTGAACCCTCTGGTCACACCCAGGTGCATCATTCTCTCCAGCCTCTACTTATATTGTTGTAGAGAGTTGAATGAGATACTAGTGAATTAGTTTTCACAGCTAGTCAAGTTTTATAAATTTTTCTAGTCAGCAAGTTATATTAAAATGTCTGCTGTAAAATGTTTTGTCTGTGTGTTTAATGTTTAGTATATTTAATAGATACAATGCAAGTGGAACTGTTAATATTTATTCTGTCAGGTTTTTGAAAAAGTGTTTTTACAAGGAAGCTTTCAGATTCTTCTTCTTTGTAAGATCCGGTGAAAAGTCCTGGTTGTTCCTCTGTTTGGACTTTGTGCCAGGGCCTGAGTTTTGCATGTACATCCTCTTTTTTACTTTACTCGCTTATTTGTGTGCTGTTGGTTGGTATAGCCGCTCGGGCAGATGCACTCCGACTTTAAAAGAAGCTGCAAGTTAGTCTACTCTTTTGGGTAGGAAGAGGGTCGGGTCACTTCTAATCTTCTTATTTTCCTCCACAATGGGTTCCCATAACCCACACAGTGAGCGGGAGCTTCCAGTGAAATCCTTAACTCGCAGGTTTTTGTGTGTGTACAAGACCTTTAAAGACTGCAGTCGACTCTGGTGCGTCACTGCTAGCTATGACTGACCCAGTGGGGAACAGATTAACACAGAAGTCACCAACATTTTTTAAACTTCCTACTCCTTTCAATCACCTGCTTGACTGACAGGCATGCATCATAATAGGTAAGTTGCGTATCCTTTACAGGACGTTACAGAACCAACCCTGGCTGTTGTGTGGTTTCTCTAGGCAAATTTACGTCCAGTAGTTTGCTATTGCTTCTGGACAGTCGGCCCCTGATCCCACTGTCGAAACCAGCGCAAGGCGCATGGCCCGCAGCTGGGATCGAACCAGGCACCCTGGCATTACGAAGCATTCGTATCGACTTAGCCACAGAGCCGACATTATCATAATACTGGACCTATATTTACCAATTAATTTCTATAGGTTTCACTGATCAAAAAATGGATAGCGCAAAGCTGCTGCATTTTGGAGCAAAGTTAAATGGCCATCTTCAAAGTGTCATTGCAACGTCACCATGTTCATCTGCACCGTGATGTCACAGCTTAACACCATTAACAACTATTTTGACAGGTTACAGTACTGTGGCATGGTTATTATATTTTCTATCACACTTTTAAGGTTTTCATTTGAAGTCAATCTTTTATAATAAAATCCTTTCGTTGTTTCAGATAACCTCTAGTGATTCAAGGTACTCAGGAAGTGATCTGAGTCCTCGCTCTCCACTTAGAGACGGTAAGAGAGAGATGATTTTTCATTATCATAATTATAGTTCAAAAGTAACAACCGTTTTTTCACACATATGTTGCATTATACATATAGTGCTAAACCTGAATTTCTATAAACCAGTTTGTACTCAATGTGGATAAGACACCTGATATTTGTTTGAGCCATTTCAGACTGGGTCGACCTGTGAACTAAGGTCATTTTTGTCAGGGTGAATCCCACCTTCATGATAATTATAGGAAATGCAGTTAGGACCTAGGATGCCAGCTATCTGGCTGTATTGCCTATTTTTGAATTCTTCTTCATCTTTGTGTTCGCCGGCTGTGCTTTAGTTGTTCGTCCACCTCTGGACTTTAGACTTGTTCTAGAACTTGAGCTTTGCGTGCAAACCCATTTGACAGATGTGGCTTATTTGTATGCAGACTGCTGGTTTCTTGCCTCTTGGGCAGATACACTCTGACATTGAAGGAAACCCCTAATTATTGACTCTTAAGACATGCATGATACAGAGGCAGGGCCCCACACACACACTCACCCGCCCACACACATATGGGACCCAGAAAGCACACAGGAAGTTAAAATTGTTCCACTAACACTGATATAGGTTTTGAAAAGCTACATAGGTCAACCTTATTATTATCTTTACATCGGTTTCCTTCTCAGAATTGCCTTTTGCCTTATTGCAATTTCTAATATTTCAGATTATCCAATGCATCCAGAAGATCGGTATTATCCATCCTATTATGCGGACCATGCGACCTCTAGCTACCAGGCCAGTAGGGCACACATTGACCCCTATGCAACACTGACACCCAGTGAGCGATTACGATCTAATACCCAGCCAGGTAACCTAGATGTTGCCTGTTTGTTTACTGAAATATAGAAAAATAGTCGGGTAAACTAGTTATTGCTTGTATGTTTGCTGAAATAGAGAAAAGTAGTCAGGTAAACTAGTTGTTGCTTGTATGTTTGCTGGAGTAGAGAAAAGTAGTCGGGTAAACTAGAAATTGCCTGTTTGTTTACTGAAATACAGAAAAATAGTCGGGTAAACTAGTTATTGCTTGTATGTTTGCTGAAATAGAGAAAAGTTGTCAGGTAAACTAAGTGTTGCTTGTATGTTTGCTGAAGTAGAGAAAAGTAGTCAGGTAAACTAGTTGTTGCTTGTATGTTTGCTGAAGTAGAGAAAAGTAGTCAGGTAAACTAGTTGTTGCTTGTATGTTTGCTGAAGTAGAGAAAAGTGAATATATTTTTAATGGTACCACAAAGTACTTGCCATTTTGAAGAGCCATAGTGGATGTAGTGAGCAAGAATACCTCAACTGAGACCACATCTATGTAACTCCTCAAAGCTGAGCAAAGAATGGAAGGTAAAATCTGCTACCCTGCCTATGTATTATTTATCTTTCTTAGCATAAAGGGTTCAGCATTGGTAGTAGATTAGAAAGCATTGAAAGATACCCTAGCAATTAAAATCTAAGAAAAGACTAGATGTTGCACACTGCGTCTTGGCGTTTCATTTAATGCTGACTTATTTTATTTCCCCTGACATTTGAGGAACAGCACTGTGGAAATGATGTCCTGATCACCAACCAGAAGCGTAGTAGTAAGTAATGCATTGAAGCAGAGGTAGGCACAACAGGACAGGTTTCTAGGTCTGCAGTTGGTGTTCTTCAACACATTTTACAATATTTGTGTTAAATTCACTGCTGACTTATTGTATTATCTTGTTATGAACGATTTTCATGTACGTTGATCTGTAGGCAGTTTTCAAGGTGGATTCGATGAGATGGGTCCCTACAGACAGAGAGGTGAAGCTGGAGACAGACCTTCTGGGGAAGCAAACCACAAGACACACACAGCGTTCAGTAATAACCAAGGACCGGCAGGCTATGGGTTGGGAGTGGAACACAAGGTAGGAGGGCCAGTTATGGTTTTTCTTTTTTTTTTTCTGTTCTTTTCTTCTTATTCTTCCCGTTCCCCAGCTGTAAACTGATGCAGAAGGTTCTGATTGTTCATTCACTTCTAGACTTAAATCTTGTTCCAAAGATGGAGTTTTATGTGCTCATTATTTGTATAAATCTAGCTGATTTATATGCAGACTGTTGGTTCCAAGCCTCTCAGGCAGATACACTCCGACTTTGAAGTAAGAATTCTGCTTATTGAAACATACCTTTAATTGCAGCAAGTTTTCAAACCTAAATAAACCCGTCCAAAACTATAGGTTGACTTATATTGCAGGTGGTTGACTTATGTTGCAAGTTACATTGTGTTTAAGTAGCTTTGGGCCTTATTTAATAATTGTGAGTTTAAAATATTTATGTCAGCTTTTACACCAGCTTGACCTGTACGCCAAATTTATTGTAATTGATTCAATTCCTCACGCTCCTTCGCGTTGATCTTATAGTGTCCTCACCCTCCCACACGTTGATCTTATAGTGTCCTCACCCTCCCACACGTTGATCTTATAGTGTCCTCACCCTCCCACACGTTGATCTTATAGTGTCCTCATCCTCCCACACGTTGATCTTATAGTGTCCTCACCCTCCCACATGTTGATCTTATAGTGTCCTCATCCTCCCACACGTTGATCTTATAGTGTCCTCACCCTCCCACACGTTGATCTTATAGTGTCCTCATCCTCCCACATGTTGATCTTATAGTGTCCTCACCCTCCCACACGTTGATCTTATAGTGTCCTCACCCTCCCACACGTTGATCTTATAGTGTCCTCACCCTCCCACATGTTGATCTTATAGTGTCCTCACCCTCCCACATGTTGATCTTATAGTGTCCTCATCCTCCCACACGTTGATCTTATAGTGTCCTCACCCTCCCACATGTTGATCTTATAGTGTCCTCATCCTCCCACACGTTGATCTTATAGTGTCCTCACCCTCCCACACGTTGATCTTATAGTGTCCTCATCCTCCCACATGTTGATCTTATAGTGTCCTCATCCTCCCACACGTTGATCTTATAGTGTCCTCACCCTCCCACATGTTGATCTTATAGTGTCCTCACCCTCCCACACGTTGATCTTATAGTGTCCTCACCCTCCCACACGTTGATCTTATAGTGTCCTCACCCTCCCACACGTTGATCTTATAGTGTCCTCACCCTCCCACACGTTGATCTTATAGTGTCCTCACCCTCCCACATGTTGATCTTATAGTGTCCTCACCCTCCCACACGTTGATCTTATAGTGTCCTCATCCTCCCACACGTTGATCTTATAGTGTCCTCACCCTCCCACACGTTGATCTTATAGTGTCCTCACCCTCCCACACGTTGATCTTATAGTGTCCTCACCCTCCCACATGTTGATCTTATAGTGTCCTCATCCTCCCACATGTTGATCTTATAGTGTCCTCACCCTCCCACATGTTGATCTTATAGTGTCCTCATCCTCCCACATGTTGATCTTATAGTGTCCTCACCCTCCCACATGTTGATCTTATAGTGTCCTCACCCTCCCACATGTTGATCTTATAGTGTCCTCATCCTCCCACATGTTGATCTTATAGTGTCCTCACCCTCCCACATGTTGATCTTATAGTGTCCTCATCCTCCCACACGTTGATCTTATAGTGTCCTCACCCTCCCACATGTTGATCTTATAGTGTCCTCATCCTCCCACACGTTGATCTTATAGTGTCCTCACCCTCCCACATGTTGATCTTATAGTGTCCTCACCCTCCCACACATTGATCTTATAGTGTCCTCACCCTCCCACATGTTGATCTTATAGTGTCCTCACCCTCCCACATGTTGATCTTATAGTGTCCTCACCCTCCCACATGTTGATCTTATAGTGTCCTCACCCCCCCACATGTTGATCTTATAGTGTCCTCACCCTCCCACATGTTGATCTTATAGTGTCCTCACCCTCCCACACGTTGATCTTATAGTGTCCTCACCCTCCCACACGTTGATCTTATAGTGTCCTCACCCTCCCACACGTTGATCTTATAGTGTCCTCACCCTCCCACACGTTGATCTTATAGTGTCCTCACCCTCCCACATGTTGATCTTATAGTGTTCTTATATCATTATTTGTTGTTGTGGAGTAGTTGTTCAAATTGTAGTCCATATGTTCTTAATGCCTGCAGTGGATATTTTTCTGAAACCACATTGTATTGCATGCTTGTGATGGTGGTAGATTTTGTAGTATTGTCTTTTGCTGGAGAGAGAAGTATTTCTACTAATGACTCACAAAGCATGCTTCAAACAATAGAGACTGGTGTCCTATGCTTCAAGTGGCTTGCCTCGCTTAACAATACTCAGATCATAGATTTTTTGCCCAGGACATTCTGGTCTGCAGGGGTTATGAGCAGGCTCATAGATTGGCTGCTGCTACTTCTCTGGGCATGGAGCTACTTTATAATAAAGTGGACATGGTGAAGGCACTCTGGTGTGGTGCAGTGCAATGGAACAGACAAAGTATTCATACTTTGAAAGGCTAGTTCAGCAGGAAGTAGCTAAAGGATCTCAGTGATTTTCATCTAACAGGAAGAAAGACAAATGGACTTTTAATCAGGTTTTTGCTGGCACCATCAGTTAGGGAACTTTTTATTGGCTACTAAAGAAAGGGACATACCATGTATAGGAATGTTCTGAGTGCAATGATGTCACTTGTTGATTGATTCTGATTGGATGACCTATGCAAGTATAGAACAAAGTCTAAAATCTAGGACTCAGTGGTAGCAAGCTACTCACAGTCACCATTTTGAGAGCACTCGTCTTTCTTGAAGCAGAGTGTGGATTTTAATCCTGGATTGTCTCACAGTCACCATTTTTAGAGCATTAATCTTTCCTGTAGCAGTGTGTGGATATTAATCCTGGATTGTCTCACATTCACCATTTTGAGAGCATTCATCTTTCCTGTAGCAGTGTGTGGATATTAATCCTGGATTGTTTCACAGTCACCATTTTGAGAGCATTCATCTTTCCTACAGCAGTGTGTGGATATTAATCCTGGATTGTCTCACAGATACTAAGAAAATCAGGGCTTTTGAGCAAGAAATGCCTCAGAAAGATTCTTAAAATACCATGGACCAAGATTTTTTTTAAAAAATATCTATATATTGACATTTGAAAAGATGTGAACATAGAAGAAACCTACAGCATCTTATCTCTAAAATTAAAGTTAATGTAGTTGTGGAACCAGTTGCTGCATTCTTTGGTGGTTTAGGTTAACTAGGCAATTTTATGTTCTGCAGTTTGCGATTGCTGTCCTTACAGATGGCTTTCAATACCATTGTCAAAATCAGTGCCAAGTGGTCTGCTGCCAAATCACTTGCAGCTGGAATCAAACAGAGAATCTCGGAATCACAAACTTTGCGTGCAGCGCAGAATGTTATCACAGATGCTGACTGAAGTATTTTGGCCATATCAAGCATTGCAATGGCTTGGAAAGATAAATAATAGAGGGCATAGTCGTTAGTCGAAGTTCCAGCTTTACTGCAAATGGGTCGCCTCAAAACTGCTCCATTCCTGTGCTAGTGGAAATCGAACACAATGTTCTTTGCTCTCCCATTTGAAAAGTAGTGAAAAACATGTTAGTCCCAGCAAATTCTTGAAGCTTGCACACGCAGAGTGAAAATGCATAAGGAGGCTGTCAAATGTGCAGACACTAATGGTCCCACACCAGGATTACAGCTCAATGTTGGCACAGATGGTCAGCCATGAAAGCTGGAATCATACCTGTAAGAGTATGTGCCATTTTAAACATAATTGCCCTCCGCCACTTTATAGAAAGTCAACAACACATGCAGGCAGAACAGAGGAGACATTCCACATGAGATTCACAGTCCACAGTGTCAAACCAATCACTCAGTGATGGAACCTTTGGACTCCCAGTCTAGAAATATGGAATTTCATCAGCAAAACTAGCTGGAAACTGTTTCACTGTGTCAGAGGTCAGCCGGCTGTCTGCCATTTTGGCCCTAAGTCAACAGAGAGCATGATAAGAGAAATAGCGGCTGACCACTGCAAAGGTGGGCACAGGACATGTGAGGCACTTTAGGCAGGACAGGGCATGAGGCGGGGCAAGTGGTGAGAGACTGAATATCTTTGAGGCGGGCTTTGATCTGAGCCTCGTACTGTAAAAATAAAATCGGCTACATGTTGAAGGTGAACAGGCTGTAAGAGCAGCAGGCAACTTCATTTACAGACACCTGTCATGATAACTCTTTAGAGATGACATTTAATCGTTTTTCAGTTTTGAATTGTTTTTCTACCCTTAGGGGTTCCGGGGCCTCACTGTGTGGAAACAGGGTCGGGGGGTGGGGGGGGTTAGACACATAGACACACTGCCCTGACCCCACCAAAAAATATCTTGTAAAAGTAGACTAACTAATTAGGGCTGCTTCCTCTGAAGGCGGATTGCATCTTCCTGAGAGGCAAGGAACCAACAGTATGCATGCAAATAAGCCAGATCTGTAAAACAGAAATGCTCACAAAACTCAAGTTCTGAAAGAAGACTAAAGACCAGAAGTGTCTGAACAACCAGAACTTTCTATCAGAATTTACAGTTGCTGAACACCAAGAAGAAGGGTGACAAAAAAGAACTGGTTTTTAAACCATCTCCATTCTGGAGTAGAAGATTTTTCAAGAAAAGAAGAATACAGCAATATACAGTAAATTATTTTGTGTCTTTATCTTCAGGGCTATGCTGATAACTCGTCGCACTCCAGTGACTCTTACAGCAAGTACATGAACAGCCCACAGAACAAGCATGATGACACCAAACTTCGGGAAAAGTTTGGCAACTTACAAACGGCAGGAAGAGAAAAGAGTCCCGGAAATGATCCCTACAGGTTTACCCGAAGTACGGCTCACCCAGTCACCGGAAATGTTGACAGGGCTAAAATCTCAGATCTGTCTGCTAAATACAGGTACAACAAATATCTGTCAGCTAAATACAGGTACAGCAAATATCTGTCAGCTAAGTACAGGTACAGCAAATATCTGTCAGCTAAATATGGGTACAGCAAATATCTATCAGCTAAATACAGGTACAGCAAATATCTATTGGCTAAATACAGGTACAGCAAATATCTGTCAGCTAAATACAGGTACAGCAAATATCTGTCAGCTAAATATGGGTACAGCAAATATCTGTCAGCTAAGTACAGGTACAACAAATATCTGTCAGCTAAATACAGGTACAACAAATATTTGTCAGCTAAATACAGGTGCAACCAATATTTGTCAGCTAAATACAGGTACAGCAAATATCTGTTGGCTAAATACAGGTACAGCAAATATCTGTCAGCTAAATACAGGTACAGCAAATATCTGTCAGCTAAATATGGGTACAGCAAATATCTGTCAGCTAAGTACAGGTACAGCAAATATCTGTCAGCTAAATACAGGTACAACAAATATCTGTCAGCTAAATACAGATACTCTCTGTATTGGTTCTGGATCCCAATTTTCAGGGGGGGGGGGGGGGGGGGGGGGGGGGGGGGGGGGGGGGGGGGGGGGGGGGGGGGGGGGGCAATAGACCCACTGCTTCCCTAACAAGCATGTCATAGAAGGCAGTTAATTCAGGGTGTTTTTTTTTTCGAAGTCAGAGTGCATCTTCTCCTGAGAGGCAAGGAACATTCAGTCTGCATAGTGATAAGCCAGATTCGTAAGATGGATGAGCATACATAAGCTCTAGAACATGACCAGTGAATAGAAGTGGATGAACTACCAGAACATTCCGTCTGAGTTTACAGCTGGTGAACGCTAAGGAGAAGCAGACGAACACAGATACTGCAAATATTTATTAGCTAAAATACACATATATATTTGTCAGCTAAATACAGCTAGAAAATTGTTGGCACTATGTTAAATTCACTGAAATACAATTTAGGCGATTTTTGCTAAAATGCATTTTCAGGGCTGTTATTTGTCGCTTCACAGCATGCCAAAGGCACACATGTGAATTCCTCCAAGTAGATCAGAATGAAGTATTACTTATCAGAAAGCTACACACATTTTCAGAGTGATTTCATAAAAACAAGGATTTAGCATTTAGATGATAACAATATATTTGACAGCTAAGTGCATGAACAGCACCGTTTGTCAGTTAAAGACAGATACAGCAAATATTTGTCAGCTAAATAAAGGAACAGCATGTATTTGTCGGCTAGATATTGGTGCAACCAGTTACAGCATGTATTTGTCATCCAAATAAGGGATAGCAAATATTAATACTAGGTTGTAAAGTTAGTGCCAGATTGAGCTGGTGTGTTTTCAGACTTGTTTATTCAATCAGTTTACACGCAGTGGTTTTAATGAAGACCCTATTCCTAAGAACAGTACAAGCTCTGAACATTGAAGCAAACAGGCTTTTTGTTTAACTTCTGGTCACATATAGCATCAAGCCTGGTGGCCCCTTGTCTAATTTCTGTCTTATAGCTGTTTCTCTGTATGTCTCCATATTGTTGGTTTTGCAAGCGCTGGGACACTAGAGATATTCATAAGTTTGCCACTTCTTTGTGTCATCTGACACTTGAGTGCACATGTATGGTGAATATGCTGGGTGTTTAAGTGTGTCCTGTAGGGCTTTCTTTCTAGAAACAGAAAGAGTGTTGTTACTGAATACAGTGTTTATTACAGTAGCACCTGTATTTTCAACATATTCTTTGATGAAAATTTAACCTTAACAAAATAGGGGGGGGAGGGGGAGGGGGGGGGGGGTGCCGATACTGCGTATTGCCAGAAATAAGCCAGTCTTACCAAGCTTTGGTCAGAATAATAATGAACTAAACATCTTGATTCTCAATTAAAATATTGCATGCTGTATAGAACTGAACCAATCAAAGTTCTCATATACACATGTGATGAGGATTTTCATAATAAACTTTCATAATATACAGGAAACAAGACATTCAGCCAAAATCTGGTGCAGGGAGACAAGCTGCACCACTGTCAAACCAGCAGTCTGTGGCCAAGAAGGAACTACCACCTCCCGTTCCAGTGAAAACGTTCAGTCTGAAACAAAGAGGAATCGAACCTGATGAGCTGAAAGTGAGAAACTATGAGAATTCTAACAGGTGAGCTCATGTTGTATGTGGGTTAGTCATGTTGTGTGTGGCCTGGTCTTGTTTTATGTGGCCTGATCTTGTTTTATGTGGCCTAGCCATGTTGTGTGTGGCCTGGTCTTGTTTTATGTGGCCTAGTCATGTTGTATGTGGGTTAGCCATGTTGTGTGTGGCCTGGTCTTGTTTTATGTGGCCTGGTCTTGTTGTGTGTTGCCTGGTCTTGTTTTATGTGGCATGGTCTATCAGTTTTGGGCACTAGAACATGACATGTTTGTTGATCGGTTGACCTTTAGTGCAGTAAAGCTTAGCATATGATATCACAGCATCTAGTTTGAGAATCCAGAGGAAGTCACTGTAGCCTTCTGCTGGCTTGAAAACTAGCAGTATATATGCGTTGTTGAAATGACTCAGAAAGCATGTTAAGCAAGGTGGAGACAGATATGCTGCATGAAGTCAGGGTAGTTAGTGTCCTGTGGATGGATATTTTCTACAGGGTGTGCAGTTGTTCTGGGAAAAGAACAGGCAGATAGACTGGCTAGTTCTGCACTACTTAGTAGTAAAGAAGACAAATAAAGAACTTTCCCCATGCCCTTAATGTGTTGGGTATTTAGTGCTAGACCTATGTTTTATAGACAAATCTGCTGTCATTGGGGAATGGGATCAACATCATGCCAACTGTCTTTACTTCCCAGGACTTTACCTGGTACCCATTTTAGACTGGGGTACCTAGGCGCCAAGATCATTTTTGAAAATAATCCTTTTCAATGTGAAATTTGAGTCCGTAGACGAAGGGCTCACATTGCTTTTGCAGAGTAAAATTATTTCTCCTGAGGTCATTGTGACGTATAATTGTTTATCTTGAGGTCATTTTAGGGTGTAATTGTTTCTCTGATGTCATTGTAGAGTAAAACTGTTTCTCCTGATGTCACTGTAGAGTAAAACTGTTTCTCCTGTTGTCATTGTAGAGTAAAACTGTTTCTCCTGATGTCATTTTAGAGTAAAACTGTTTCTCCTGATGTCACTGTAGAGTATAGTTGTTTCTCCTGAGGTCATTGTAGAGTATAGTTGTTTATCCTGAGGTAATTATAGAGTGTAATTGTTTCTCCTGAGGTAATTATAGAGCATAATTGTTTCTCCTGAGGTCATTGCAGAGTGCAATTGTTTCTTCTGAGGTCCATAGAGTTTTGAATATGTTTTTTCTGTCAGATTCTAGAGCATACAGCTGTGCTGATATTAATACAGTCTACACAAGGTTATAAAAATGTTCTTTTTGTCTGATTCTAGAGCATACAACTATGCTAATATTAATGCAGTCTGCACAATGTTTTAAATATGCTGCTTCTGTCTGATTCTAGAGCATACAACTATACTAATATTAATACAGTCTACACAAGGTTATAAATATGTTCTTTCTGTCTGATTCTAGAGCATAAAACTAAGCCATTAATGCAGTCTACACAATGTTTTATATATATTCATTCTGTCTGATTCTATAGCATACAACTATGCTAATGTTAATGCAGTATGCTCATTCTGTCTGATTCTAGAGCATACAACTATACTGAGATTAGTGCAGTCTACACAAGTTTTTAAATATGCTGATTCTGTCAGATTCTAGAGCATACAACTATGCTAATATTAATGCAGTCTGCACAATTTTAAATATTCTCATTCTGTCTGATTCTAGAGCATACAACTATGCTGATGCTAAAGCAGCATCCAGTCACTATGGTGCACCACTATCAGATGCCGCACCACCACTGCCACCTCCGCCCACTGCTTCATCATATCCGTCCGGGTTGGACACTGAGAGACCATATGAGTATGTCTCCCTACGCCAGGCACAAAGTTCCACAACTTTTGGTGGAGGTGGTGGCAGTAACAGAACAGATTATCCACCTCAACCCCTTCAACCATCTTTTCACCATAATCAGAACAGTCACAGAAGCAGTGCATACAATAACGCATCATCATCATCATCAAAACCCTATCAGCAAACACTTGATCACCAGTCTAAAACACAGCAGTTTCAGCAAGAAGGTCGAGGACACAGCCTTGACTCGACCTTTCCACGTCCTGCACATTACCCACCTGACAGTGCTGATCCCGACTACCAGCACTCCAAAGCTTTTTCCAACGAGGTGTACATGGACCAGCAGGACTTGCAGAGAGCTAGGCAGGCTAAAATGCAGACTTCATTGTCTGGTTACACATCCATGCCTGAACAGGTTTTTAGAGAAAGAGGGAGAGAAGATGTGCAAGGAGGAATTCTGACTCTAGAGAGGGGATATGCTCGCCCCAGGTAGGATCTTTAATGTGTAATGATTAAATCTTAAGGTATAACATGCAGTAAATTTATTAGGAAACGATCAACCCTTGACTTTTATAGTTGTGTCAGAAATCAAAGCAATGTTTCCCCTTTGTAAATTTGAATGAAGACGCAAGCAGTAGATTGCATAGGACAAGCTAGTAAACCTGCATCTGCCCTGGTAAAATGGGCAGTTATTTTTTAAAGTGGTCGAATTTGTATTCATTTATTCCCCCCAAACCCCTTTTAAATGGTTACTTTAGTTTGCACCTGCTGGGATATAGGTAAATATGCCAGGTACTAAATTGTACAGTCTATTGTTTATGTCTTTTCTGCTCAAATGTTATAGTTGTGGATAAAATGGGAAGACATTTATACAAGTTTATAAAACCATTTGTATTAACGGTTTAGATCAAAAGGTTTTTGTTTTTGACTGCTTCTGCCTTAACCCCCTAACCAGTGAGAACCATTATACAATCATCTATATCTTAATCCTATCGTCCTGGAAACCCTAGAAAAACAAACCCCATAACCCATATATCACCGTACTTCATGAGCAAAAATAATCCTTTTTTTATTTTTATTTAAAAAAAAAACATTTTACACAGGTCACGAGCTTGCGCGCGCACACACACACACATGCACGCAAGTCTGCACACACACACACACACACCTGATAATTTCATTTCTGTATGTAAAAAAATCTATCCATAATTAATATCATGAAAAGATATAAAACTGAACGAAATGTATATTAACAAGCTTCACATTTTACAAATACAAACAAAACGTGAACGTTGCGGCTATGGAGCCTTCATCAGCACATACAAATCAAACAATACTACACAGATACACAAAATCACTTAGCTGGTATCTCAAAGCAGCCGGGTCGATGGTTTCCAAACTGATGTAGCCACATAACTTAGAAATTGAGTAATCAGTTAACACAAAGGCAGCCACAAATTAGCTGACTATTGTTGGTCAGCAAGTGAGTGAACCTTGACACCATCATTGTCCAGGTAGTAGTGAGAGAAATAGCAATGACTGGCTAAACTGGAGGAGGAATCATTTCACTAAACAATGCTGTTTTTTTAATTGGCATCTATGCCTTAGGCGTTGCGAACGCGCTTCATAATGCCGAGGTGCCAGGTTCGATCCCAGCTGCGGGCCCTGCGCCTTGCGTTGGTTTTGACAGTGGTATCAAGAAGCCGGCCATCCAGAAAGCGGTGGCAAACTACTAGACGTAAATTTGCCTAGAAAAAACACAACAGCCATAACATTCTGGGGTTGGTTCTGCAACGTCCTGTAAAGAATAGGCAACTAATTTACATTTTAAAGTAATAGTTGTTTTTTTGCTGGCCACTTCTAATCTTTGAATTTGTCTGCTTGTTATTTGGCATGATTTTAATTGTAATCTCACTGCCTTGAAGCTTCATTACCTTTGCAGATCTAGACATGTTTGCATGATTTAATATATGTAGCTCTGTGTATTTTAGAACTATTTCATCAGTCTCTTACACATTCTCAGAATTTATGTTCCCTCTTCCCAAAAGAGTCGGCTGTGTGGCTAAGTCGATGAGAAAGCTTCGTAATGCCGGGATGCCGGGTTTGATCCCAGCTGCAGGCCATGCACCTTGTGTTGGTTTTGACAGTGGTATCAAGAAAGCCGACCGTCCAGAAAGCAATGGCAAACTACTGGACGTAAATTTGCCTAGAAAAACCACACAACAGCCAGGGCTTGTTTGGGTTGGTTGTGCAACATCCTGTAAAGGATACGCAACTGACCTAACTTCCCAAAAGATAGCCAGATGAATGTATTGGACACTCAGCATGTTACCATACTGAGCATTTACTCCATTTGAAATCAAAATAATTTTTGAGGAATAGACTGAATTTGAGATATGTTTGTCTGCCACTTTGAAAGGAAGATACAAGCATTGGAAACGCAGTGTTTCATTAAAATTCTTGACATATCATACAAATACAAATACATGACAAATAAAGAGGTTCATCATATAATTGTACCAGTACATTGGCAACTATGAGCCTCTTTTAACTATAGTGAAAAGGTGAAAAGGCAGTGGTGTGAACATGTAATAAGATCTAGAAGCCTCTCAAAAACTACACTGCAGGGCTAAGTAGAGGGAAAAAGGAAAAGAGGCAGACCAAGAAAGACCTGGTTACAGAGCCTTTCTTACTGGACAAGCCTCAGGCGTGCAGCCATGAGGTCTACCGCAACTGGCCACCAAAGGTGGAGAGAGCTGTTTAGACAGTCAACAGAAACTGGTGACCCAATGACATATAATGTTATGGTATGATAATGATGATTGTACAAATCCAATTGAAAACAGAAATTTGGTGAGCATTTGTTCAGATGGACATGGTGAAATCATACTCTTTCAAAATAGTCAGCATCTGTGGCTTCAGCTTGCAAACACACTTCATAATTGCAAGATTCCAGCTGCAGGTTGTTTGGTAACAGACAGCTTTGCAATTGATTTTGAAATGTTACCATTCATAAGCAGTGGCAAACTACTGAACATAAAATTGCCTGGTAAAAATCACCAACAGCTCCAAAAAATGCTGGAGTTGGAGTGCAGTTTCCTGTAAAGGATACACAACTAACTTTTTTCTTTCAAAACAGTAAACAGAAAAAGAAACAAATTAAGGTGAACAGTGTGTGAATTCTGGCATGTGGACTAGAGCGCCCTAGTGTGTTCTAGTGATAAAAGATTTTTTAAAGGCCAGGTATAAACTACCTGAAATAAGTTTTTCGATCAGATTATCACTTAATCATTCGGTCAATTAAATCACACATAATAAGAAAAATTCTAAATATTTGGGTATTATTAATTGTGTGTGCGTGTGTGTGCGAGTTTCTTGCTGCTGAGTGAGTGAATCAAAGCTTTGTTTTGTGTTTGAAAGAATATTTAATGAACTACATAACAGACAGTGGGCAGCACAGTAAGCCGTAAACTTCATTATGTACACTATTGTCAGCTTCAGTTATTATTGGCATATGAGTATTTTATACTGGATTTTTAAATGGATTTTCACATTTTTATGAAAATAAATATATTTTAAATAAAAGTAATAAAAAAAATATATATATATATATATATATATACATCTATCTATTTTTATATGGATTTATAATTATTTTGTATGTTTTTTGGGGTTTTCAATTTATCTGCGCATAAATATTTATATCCATGAAAATGCAATGTATACATCTATGTGTACATTAACTTTATTTTACCCACATAATGTTATGATATGTTATGGTTTTACGTCTGACGTTAGTAGACATCAGGTATTCCCAATGCCCACATAAATATCACCTGCGCCTGTTGACACTCTTTCTTGTATGTTGCCCTGAGTTTCCGTGGTGTGTGTTTTTGCTTTAGGTTTAGGTTTTTGCTTTGTTATTTCCAAAGAGGACATTTTAAATTTTTACCTTTAAGCATGTGTTTGCAATGGCTTTGCATGCAAGGTTGTCAGCTCATGCCTCCACAAAAGCCATAATATAGTTAGTGACATTTGCTTGTCTTGCTCAGCTGTATCTCTGCATGTAGCACTTGCTTTTATCTCTCTGTGTGTCTGAAGATGGCAGTTTATGATCGTTCTCCGAATGTCTCTAAAGATGGTTGTTTGTTATGATTCTCCTAATGTTGTAACCTCGGTGCTATAGTTCAGGTCACCATCACTGCACTCAGGACACATTCATAAGTGCATCAGTCTTCACTGTGGGGAATCCATCTGTTAGCACCTTTTTGACTTTCCAGATAATACTGTCATACTGTACTGCAGGGAGACATGGGACCTAGTCAGTATTGCAGAGACTGTGGGATCCTTCTCTCCATAACCTGGGCAGTATTGTAGAGACTGTGGGATCCTTCTCTCTATAACCTGGACAGTAGAGACTGGGATCCTTTTCTCCATAACCTTAGCAGTATTGTAGAGAGCATGTGTTGCCCATGCAACAGATCCCTCCTGCTGCGTGCTCCAAAAGAAAGGTAACACTAATACAGTGAATCCACCTGTACATCAATATTCTCTGTATTGAATCCATCAGTGTACAGCGACTGACTTCTCATCCATTGTTGACTAAGCCTCCTTGCCCACTTGGTGTGCGGATAAACTTCCTGGTCTTTTTTAATTTATTCCACCACACGTAAAGTATATTATCTATCCACCGTCTTCTTGGTCGCCCTGTGGTCTGTTCCCTTGAAACTCTTTTGTACACATAGTTTTCTTTCTGCTGTCTGCCATTCACTCTGTATGCACTGATCATTACAGTCTGTTAACTATTATGATGCTAGTCATTGCTGGGGATTTAAATATAGTTATAAATTTATTTTCTTGTTTCATTTCCTGATCCATTTTGCCTTTCTCTATCATTATACCTATAGATTTGAATTCTTAAACTTACTTCAGAAATACTTTTAACTGTGTAGGAAGTGGACCCAGAGTTCTGAAGATTTGGCACTATTTCAGTTTGATGTTATTAATCTTTATCATTTATTTTCTGAGTGTTGTGCTCAGATGTTGATGTGGTCCTCCCTCCTCATTATAAAACCATCTGTGAATCAAACAGTCGGGTGCCATCTCCACTGTTAAGGTTGGCTGCATTGAATCTCCACCATGTTGTGCAGTTTCCCCCGCATGTATATTCTCTGAGGCCTCTGTTGATCCATCTCTTGATTTTATCCTCCCTGTTGCTCTCTGTGGTACAATCACTGATCATTTGTAAATAATAGCTCAATAATTATTGGCGGGTCTTTTATTTAATGAGTAGTTCCTTGCTCTGGTAGGGATTTTATTCGTCCGAGTACCCTTGCTCAAGAATTATGGAGGAATGTTTTAGCTGTTTTTTTTTTTTTTTTACTCTGCATTTCTGGTCATGTTGGGGTTGTAAAG